CTATCACTTATACGTGGAATCTAAAATATGCCACAAATGAACCTATCTACAAAAGAGAAGCAGACTCACAGACATAGAGAACAGACTTGTGGTTGCCGAGGGGGAGGGGATGGGGGAGGGATGGAGTGGGAGTTTGGGGTTAGTAAATGCAAACTATTACATATAGAAAGGATAAACAACAAGGTCCTACTGTATAACACAGGGAACTATATTCAATATCCTGGGATAAACCATAACGGAAAGAATATAAAAAAAGAATGTATAGGGATTTCCCTGGTGGCACAGTGGTTAAGAATCCGCCTGCCAGTGCAGGCGACATGGGTTTGAGCCCTGGTCCGGGAATATCCCACACGCCACACAGCAACTAAGCCCGTGCACCACAACTACTGAGCCTGCGCTCTAGAGCCCACGAGCCACAGCTACTGAGCCCACATGCCACAACTACTGAGGCCCACGTGCCTAGAGCCCGTGCTCCGCAACAAGAGAAGCCACCACAATGAGAAGCCCGTGCACTGCAACGAAGAGCAGCCACAGCTCGGCACAACTAGAGAAAGCCCGTGTGCAGCAACGAAGACCCAACGCGGCCATAAATTAATTAATTCATTCATTCATTTTAAAAAAAAGAATGCACATATGTGTATAACTGAGTCGCTTTGCTGTACAGCAAAATTAACACAACATTGTAAATCAAGTCTACTTCACTTAAAAAATTAAATAAATATTACAAAAAGATATTTGTACACCCATATTTATAGCAGTATTATTTACAGTAGCTAAAACGAGGAAGCAACCCAAGTCTCCATTGACCAATGAATGAATAAACCAAATGTGGTAGATATAAACAATATATATATAAACAATGGGGTATTATTCAGACCCCAAAAGAAAGAAAATTCTGACATATGCTACATCATGGATGAACCTGGAGGACATTATGCCAAGTGAAATAAGCTAATCACAAAAAGACAAATACCGTATGGTTCCACTTATACCAGGTACTGAGGATAATCAATTCAATGCTAGTTGCCTGGGGCTGGGGGTAGGAGAGTTATAGATTAACGGATATAGAGTTTCAGTTTTGCAAGATGAGAAGAGTTCTGGGGGGAGGGGCAATATAGGGGTAGAGGATTAAGAGGTACAAACTATTATGTATAAAATAAGTTCCATGGGGGATTTCCCTGCTGGTCCAGTGGTTAAGACTCCTCGCTCCCACTGCAGGGGGCACAGGTTCAATCCTTGGTCAGGGGAACTAAGACCCTCCCCCCATGCAGTGGCAGGGAGGTCGGGCGGAAGAAAAAACACAAAAGCTACAAGGACACATTGTACAACATGAGAAATACAACAATATTTTACAATAACTATAAATGGAGCATAACCTTTAAAAATTGTGACTAACTATATTGTACACCTGTAACATACAATATTGTACCTCAACTGCACTTCAATTAAAAAAGAGTTCTGGAGATGGATGGCGGTGATGGTTGCACGACAATATGAATGCACTTAGTACATTCCGAGCTGTCCACTTAAAATGATTAAGATGGTAAATTTTATATTATATGTATTTTAGCACAATTTTGAAAATTGAAAAAAAAACAGTGAGGTATCCCTTCACACCTATAATTTTTTAAATGGAAAATAAGTTTTGGCAAGGTTGTGGAGAAATTGGAATTCTCATACATTACTGGTGGGAATGGAAAAGTGATGCTACAAGTGATGCTGCCTGACTCCCAGGCTATAGCAAGCTCCGAATGAACAGCCTCTACTCGTTCTCGTTTGGGTGGTCTTCACTGATTTCCACAAAGGCCAAGCTCCTGTTGGCGGCCTCCCCCTTGCATATCGCCCTCCCCAGGGGCCAGGTAACCACTCTTGCGTTTCCAGGCCCACTGACCCTAGCCCTAAGCTAACCTGCACCTCCTTATGGTTTCCCTAAGCCCTGGCCACACCTTTAGAAACAGTCTCTTTGTTAGACTCTCCAGTGAGACTCCTGGCAGAATAAAGGATCGAAATTCAAATTTCATTCTCTAATAGAAAAATAAAGAAACCTACATTTCTTGCCTGCCTATGTTTAGGGCTGAGAACCACTTCATTACAAGAAGCAAAAAGGGAGTGGGGTGGGGGAGGGGTAACAGCCCAAATGTCCTAGCTGGAGAATGGGTGCACAAAGTGTGGTGTGCTTATGAAGTGAAACACCACTCAGCAATAAGAAGGAACACACTGCTGATACACGCAGGAACACAAGTGAATCGCAAAGCCATTTGGTGGAGTGAAAGAATCCAGACACAAAGACAGCATACTGTATGGTGGGGGTGATGATACTTTATATCGTGGTTGTGGCGTTTGTTACACTATGGTATGTATATGTCAAAATTTATCCGTCTCTTCACTTAAGATCTGTGCATTTCACCATGTGTAAATTATACTTTCAATATATCTTATTTTTAGTAAAACAGAGGGTTGGGATTTGACCCCCTCAGTGGCACGACTTCAAGAGGAGTAGCTCCTTCATCTAAGAAAACTGACTTCTGAGTTCCTGCCTCGAAGAAGATGGCACAGTCTCAGAGATGTGGGTCCTGGAGGGACGCATGCGCACTGCCCCGCCGCCCAGTCAGGACCTGGAACCCTGACACAACACCACTCCCAAGGCCAAATCCCAGGAGGTGGCTGGGCAGGGATTGGATTAGGGCCCCCTACTCCAAGCAAAGCTCTTTCCCCAAACCCAGGCTGCCTGGGAGAGAGCCGACCCCATGAGGGTCCCCGTGTATTGGGTCATCTCCTGAGTGACTTTCTTTGATTTACACCTGTTCGTGGGCTGATTTCAGCACTGCCCATTAAACACACTAGACGCCACATACCTGCAACGAGGTAACAGGTGCAGAGTGAAGGTTTGCTGACGTGGCAGACAACCCGCGAACAAGGCTGTACCTTCTCCCTGGGAGTTTGCATGAGCAGAGATGGCTGGGCTCCAGGCGTCTAGAGATGAGGCAGGGTTCCAAACCCGAGGATGGGAGAGAAAAGTATCAGCGACAAAGAGAACCCAGGAAAATGCTCTTTACTGTAAACTTGATTGGCTAAACAACTTCTGGGTCCAGGGATCTATCGACTCATCCATGGCCTCTGATTGATGCCGGCTCTGCCGCTGGTCAGCCATAGCCAAGGCTGAACTGCTGCCTACAAGGAGGCGCTCACGGCCAGGGCCGGGGCCGGAAGGGCGGTGGACCTTCTAAAGGGAGCGAACAGAGCGGGCAAAGGCCCAGAGGCAGGAAGTTCAGGGCCCGGCGTTTTGGAGAATGGGGGGGCACCTAACACTCTGAGCTTAAGCGTTCTTCCTCGGGGTCGGGCGTTCTGCGGAGTGCGCAGTCTCTCTGGTCGAAACGCCAGGCGAGGGGGCGGGGCGGGTGGAGGTCTGCGCGCCCGGCCGCAGTCAGCTTTGGCCCCGCCCCCAGCAGGAGTCTAGCACCTGCGGGGGCCGCCTTCCCCGCCCCCACCCGCAGCTGCGCGAGTTCCCAGGTCTCTGGCAACCGTGAGCAGGGGGCGCTGGGCGGGCAGGACTCGGGACAGCTGTCGGCTCCCAAGGCCACAGCCACGGGTGGGTTCGAGCCGCCGCGTGCCCTCCCTCACCGGCCACGCCCCTCCCCCACTCAGGCCCGGCGGCTGCCACCTCGCATCTTGGCAGACACTCGGGACAGCCCTGTACCTTCACCAGGGCCCTCCTCTGTCGGACTCTTGGCCTCTCCGCCCTGCCTCGTGTCCTCTCGGCTCTTGGTGCCACCCAGGCTCCCTCCACCAGGCCTTTGCCCTCCCTGTTCCCTCTCCCTGGACACCGTCTCCACCCAGATAGCTTGGCAAACTCTTGGGTAGCAACTTAATGTCCCCTTCGGAGTGAGGCCCTCCTGCCTCGGTGTTAATAATAATAATAACAATGATAATGATAACTCCTTAGCTGGTAGTAATGTATATTTTACTTTTTTTTTTTTAACTCTTTTCCATAAACTCCCCACCCCTTTCCCACCTAAGCTTGTAAGTCAGGAATTTGTGTTTCTTTCTTTTGTTTGTTCTGTTCCAGCAGGGGCCTGGTAAGCGCTGGTTGATGGGATGGATGGAATTGCACAAGTGGTGGGTTTCACACAGACGGCGCCACACTCTGCATCCTGTTTCGGGCCCTGCTTTCCCACCTAATGCACTGTGGCCATCCCTCCCTGTTATTGGCAGTCTTCTAGAACGCACAAAGGGACCCCACAGGCAAGTCAAGAAGGAGAAGTACCAGGTCTGACCAGCATGGACTGTGTTAGGCCTGGTCCCAGCACACTCAGTATGGACTGTGCCCTTTCATAAAGCGGGACCCTTGCTCTAAGGATCCCCATTTTACATATTTAGAAATGGGATCAGAGAGGGTAACTTGCCCAAGGCCCCACAGCTGTTTTGTGCTGAAACCTGTGACCCACCACACAACGATCATCAATGCAATGGAAATTAAAAATAGCCATAAGTGGGCTTCCCTGGTGGCGCAGTGGTTGAGAGTCCGCCTGCCGATGCAGGGGACACGGGTTCGTGCCCCAGTCCGGGAGGATCCCACATGCCGCGGAGCGGCTAGGCCCGTGAGCCATGGCCGCTGGGGCTGCGTGTCTGGAGACTGTGCTCCGCAACAGGAGAGGCCACAGCAGTGAGAGGCCCGTGTACCGAAAAAAAAAAAAAAAAAATAGCTATAAGATATCGTTTTACCTATGTGTTTTGGGGTACTTGCCCTGTGCCTGGCAGCCTCACCTTCAAACTTCTCCCTCCCCAGTTTCCCAGTTGCTGGGAAAGGGCCCTGCTGCCCACCCGAAACAGCCCTCCTTGCCCCTGCTTTCCCGCCTGGTGTAGCCTCCAGAAGCTCTTGCTGGGATGATAGCAGAGGCCCCCTGGCTGGCCCTGGGCCCAGTCCTGCACCTGAATGCCATGTACTCAATTCCAAGGGCAGGATGCCTGGGTGGAGGGGCCTGACTCCGCGTGAACGGGCAGTGGGCGGCTTGCCCTCTGAACCAGCCCACGTGACTGCCCCTGATATTGAACTGAGCCACTGAGCCTTCTTGGCCATCCTAAGACTAGGGGAGCATCCTCAGCCCACTGGTCACCTGTGCCCTCACCATGCTTTGGTCCCTGCCCCTCCCCCTACTTGACCACACTGCCTATGGGGTTTTGAACAACTGCAGACCAACTAAATTACTTGTCCAAGGTCCTCCAGACCATGAGAGACTTGGCTGGGGCTCAAATCCGGCCCAGGCCTGGCTGCTGCCCACAGGGCCCCTCTAGAGGTAGGGCCTGGAGGAGGAAACCTGAATGTCCCCTTCCCCTTAGCTGTGGGTGGAGGGCCGCCTTGTTTGGCCCCAACTTTGCCCTAGATCCTGGCCCCAGCTGCTGCCATCCCAGGCCCTGATGCCAGCCCTGCTCTGGCATATCCTGCCCACTGGGACACATGCCCAGGAAAGGGATTATCACCTCAAGGTCTTCAGATAACAGCCTGGTGCACAGGGATATAATGGGGAGCCCTCCAGGCAGGCGTCCTACACCTCCCTGACTGCGGCACCATGACCTTCCTCTGGCTTCTCTCCTGCTGCGCCCTCCTGGGCACGGCCTTTGGTGAGCACCAGGGCAGGCAGAGGCCGGGAAGGCTGTCTACCCTTCCACCAACTGCTGGAAGGGGTGCTGGCCCCACCAACCCCAAGGCCAGCAAGGAGCAGCGGGGTCCCTGCTCCCAGTTCAGCTGTGTGTGGTGGTGTGAGCCCGAGCGAGTCTTTCTCCCTCTCTGAGCCTCACCAGCTCCATCTCTACAATGAGGATGCTGGGAGGACTGGACCAGACCGGCCAGTGTGAGGCCCCCGGGGTGGAGGTGGACCTTCCTGGGGCCTCGCATCGTGTGCAAGAAGGGGCAGCAATTCCAGAGGGACAGAAAGCTCTGTGGCTCCCAAGCAGGCTCAGATGATGAGCAAGTGTGGCTTGGCCCCCATCAGCCCTTTCATGCCCTTGAACCAGCCCTTTTAAACTTTTCCACTTTTGTTCACTGTGTGCCAGGAACTGAGCGAGTTCCTGCTTTGCCTGCTTTGTCTACTAAGGCAAAGCATCTTTCATCCTTATTATACCAACTCTGTGAGGTTAGCCAACTGTAAGATCCCCATTTTGCTGGTGGGAAAACTGAGACTCAGAGTGGTTAAGGTAGGCAGTGATAGGGCCTCCCAGCCCAGGCTTTGGCCCTGCCACCACCTCAAGCTCAGCCTGTTGGGCTTGTCTGGGCTGGAGCACATGTCAGCCTGAATTGTCCCCGGAGTATTCCTGGGGCGGTGAGTCCTGGGTGGGACCTTGGCCTCCACCCCTCACTCCATACTTCCACCCTCAGGCTGTGGGGTCCCTGCCATCCACCCTGTGCTGAGCGGCCTGTCCAGGATCGTCAACGGGGAGGAGGCTGTCCCCGGCTCCTGGCCCTGGCAGGTGTCCCTGCAGGTGAGGGGGGAATTCTGCACACGAGTAGGGGGATGCACTGGGGTATTAGCCCAGCTGGGCGCTGCTGCCCAGATTGGTTTTGCTGGTGTCTGGGCGGGGCTGACCCTCCCCATCTTCCTCCAGGACAGAACCGGCTTCCACTTCTGCGGGGGCTCCCTCATCAGCGAGGACTGGGTGGTCACCGCCGCCCACTGCAGTGTCAGGTGAGAGCCCGGGGTCCCCAAGAAACCCCTTGGGGTGGTTTCCTCCAGCACTGAGGACTTGCCCTTTAACGCCTTCATTTCCCAGTTTCTTATTTGGAAATGTGTAGCAAACCCAGGTCCTTCCAGTGACCTAGGGGTCCCTGGGAAAACACATGGTGGGCTGTAGGCCCAGTTGAGATTCTGAGCGACACCACAGCCGTGTGTGCAGACGCACAAAGACACGCGTGCGCATTACGCCTGCACACGCGTGTACTCACACACATAAGCACCCTGTATCCCAAATGCCCCCCTCACGGCAGGAACCACTCCTTTCTCTGGCCCTCTCCAGAACATCCCATCTGGTCGTGGCCGGGGAGTTTGACCAGGGCTCAGATGCCGAGGACATCCAGGTGTTGAAGATTGCCAAGGTATGGCAGCCCCCAGGGTCCAGGTGTGACCCCAGGCAGGGTGGACCCTCGGGAGTGTGAAGCCCAGGCTAACCCCCAGGGCCCCAGCTCCTCCCGGTCACCCCAATACCCCATCATATCATAATGGGGCAAAGCAGAAAGCAGGGTATGCAAGGCTCCATGAGGGGAAGGTCTGCACCTTGGGCCTGGGCCTCGGGCTCCTGGGGCCATGGAAGGAGCTGCCGAGTTGAACAGGCCATTGTCCACGGAGGAGCACTGAGGCCGTGAGGGGTAGCCTGGTGCCAGGTTCTGCCCCGGTCGGCTTCTTCCCAGACCCCAAAGGCAGCTGTCTGGCCCTGCCCCACAGGTTTTCAAGAACCCCAGGTACAACCCGTTCACCAACAGCAATGACATCACCCTGCTGAAGCTGGCCACGCCTGCGCGCTTCTCCAAGACCGTGTCTGCCGTGTGCCTGCCCAGCGCTAACGATGACTTCCCCGCCGGGACGCTGTGCGCCACGACTGGCTGGGGCCTGACCAAACACACCAGTGAGTGATGAGAGACCACTGGCTGGCCAGGTGGGAGGTAGGGGCAGCAGTCACTAACCACCCACCCTGCCCTTCCAGATGCCAACACCCCCGACAGGCTGCAGCAGGCGACTCTGCCCCTCCTGTCCAACACCGACTGCAAGAAATACTGGGGCAGCAAGATCACCAAGAGCATGGTCTGCGCCGGCGCCAGCGGCGTGTCCTCCTGCATGGTATGGCCTCCTAGGCTCCCTTCCCTCCCAGCCTGGGGTGGGTTCAGGCCAAAGCCCAGACCAAGGGCTTGGGCAAAGAGAGAAGAAATGGAAGTAGCAGGCAGACCTTTCTAGGGCCTGCCACTCTCTCCCTGGGCATTCCTGCCTGAGTAGTTGGGAAGATAGGGCTCCTGGAAGGTCATCAGTGACCTCAGCAGAGAGGTACCAGAGCAAGGGGCTCTGGTCTCAGAGCTGCCATATTGCAAGATTCCACTAATATCAAAGTCTGAGTAATGGCACCTCCTGGAATTGTGCAGTGCACAGCCTGGGCAGCAGAGCATGGTGGCCCAAAAGGGCTCCAGAAGGGGTCTGGCAGCCCTTCCTCCCTCACAGTAGCCCCACGGCCAGCACCACCCATGCTTTCCTCCTATCAATGAAACCTGCTCTATTGAGCCTCTGTTATAGGACCCCACCCCAGGGGGTAGCCCAGACTTCCAGGGACACAAACCACAGGAGCTGCTGAAGTTTCTTTCATAATCCTTCTCATATGCATGTTCTGAGCTTCTACTGGCTGTCAGGCCTGGGACTGGGCTCTGGGAACAATGTTCAGTGGCCTCTGGGCCAGGCCACCTGGCCTGCCAGACCCAAACCCCCTCCTCCCTGTCCTGCAGGGCGACTCTGGTGGCCCCCTGGTCTGCCAGAAGGATGGAGCCTGGACCCTGGTGGGCATCGTGTCCTGGGGCAGTGGCACCTGCTCCACCTCCAGCCCCGGCGTGTATGCCCGCGTCACTGCACTCATCCCCTGGGTGCAGCAGATCCTGGCAGCCAACTGATGACCAGGCTTCACCCTGGCCTCCCTGCTGACCTTGCTTCCACAAAGCCTCAATAAACCAGTGGAAGACATGCTGATGGTGTCTGTGACCTGTTTTTGGGCTTCTGAGAGTCCACTCTGCTCCTGAATTTGGACCTTCACTGAACCAGGTGTCCGGGGGTGTCCAGGAGGGCCCCTCCTTAGTTCACCTCCCAAGAGTGGCCAGGAAGGGCACAGGCAGATAAAGGGGGACTGTGACCCCCACCTCTCACCTCATGCTTCCACCTCCAACTTCGGGGTCCTCACCATCTGCCCCCAGCTCTGTGTGCCCAGGGCCTGCCCACACACCTGTGATTCCAGGAAACCTTCCCAGGAGTGGCCCCCAAGGGCTCAGGCCCGCGCTGGAGCCAGGTGCTTCTCAGCCCAAGGTCTCATGATAAGGAGGGGATGGCGAGGCAGGCTAAGACTGGTGGCTTGAGGGAATATATTGGGCGGTCCCTCGGGCAGACCCCATCTCACCTGCTGAGTCACATACCATGGCCCTTCTCTGGGTTGTCCTTGGCTTCTTCCTCTTTGGCAGCAGCTTCGGTAAGTGCGAGGCTCAGGCAGGCCCGGCAGACCCAGGCCGAGCCTCGCCCACCCCCTGACCCCCCACCCAGAGGCAGGGAACAGGAGGGCCCTAGTCCTCGTACCTCAAACACCCCTGCCACCTGCCCCTCCAGCTGCCCCCTGAGCCTCCTTGGGCTGCTCTACCCAGCCCCCCACTCCTCCACTGGGTGCTCCTGGAGCCCCCTCCACTGCCTGGAGGTCCCGTGGGCCCTGCCTAATTTGGTCTCCTCCATTCACTCAGAATCTGGGGTGGTCTGGGCTCCTCCACCCTCCAAATGTGCCACCAAGCTGTGTGAATGCTGCCTCGAGAACGTCCCCCAGGTCCATCCATCTTGCCCTGCACCTCCACCCTCTGGATCTGGACAGCCTCCTGCATGTGTGCCACCCCAACTGGGCTAACAACCTCACCCAAACCTGCTCCCCCTGCAGACTCAGAGGCCATGAGAGCCCCCAGGACTCAAGCAGGACATCCCAGCCCCCAGAACAGAATCCTGGGCTCACAGTGGCATGGACACTCCCCTCAGGGCACAGAGCAGGCCGGGGAGCCTGGGCCCCGACTCCAGATACCCTCAGCCTCGGGGACCGTCCACAAGGGCACCTTCTAAGGGCAGCTGTCAGCTGGACCGGTGGGGGGGCTGAATTCCTTGCAGCGGACAAAACTCTGAGTGCCAGGGTGCCACAGAGGCCTGGAAGTGCTGAGTCTTCCCCTGACCCCCTTGGGGCACCACCCACTGACCAGCCACACTGTCCTTGTCCCTCAGGCTGCGGGGTCCCCACCATCGACCCTGTGCTGAGCGGCCTGTCCAGGATCGTCAACGGGGAGGACGCTGTCCCCGGTTCCTGGCCCTGGCAGGTGTCCCTGCAGGTGAGGGGGAGTCTGGGGAGGGGCAGGTTAGACAGGGAGGGCTCAGGCAGGAGAGGCAAGGCTGACTCTCCCTCCCCCCGTCTCCGCAGACTAGCTCCGGCTTCCACTTCTGCGGGGGCTCCCTCATCAGTGCGGACTGGGTGGTCACCGCCGCCCACTGCGGGGTCAGGTGAGGCCTGGGCTGGGGCAGGAGGGGCCCCCACCTCACCTGCCTGAAGAGACCACCTTCACTCGCCCCTAACCCCAACCGGGCACTGCCAGCGCGTGGGAAAGAGTCTGGCAGAAGCTGCTCTGTCCCCAGGCTGCAGGCAGAGCCAGTCAGCAGAAAACCCCAGCCCTAGCGCCCCACCTCCCCAGACCCCAGCTTGGTCCGGGGCAACTGGCCTGGGCCTCTGCCTTCACTGTACAGATGGGGAAACTGAGGCTCCAAGGTCACCACGCGATTCAGTGGCCCAGCCGGGGCTCACCCTGCCTGGCACGCTCTCCGGGCGCTCCTCTGAGGAGGTGGCCGTGAGCCTGAGCTCCGTCTGCCACCTCCTTTCTCTCCAGGAAGAGTCACCTCGTGGTGGCCGGGGTATCTGATCACGGCTCCGAGGAGGAGGCTGTCCAGGTGCTGAGGATCGCTGAGGTACAGACGGCCGGGCAGGCAGCCAGGAGGGTGGGCCCCTGGGGCACAAAGGAAAAGGAGGGCAGGGGGGGAGTGGGCAGACGACCCCGGCCGGCGGCTGAGGCCTCACCCCACCCCTCCCAGTCTGCAGGTCTGTGTGTCCCTAACATCTCCCAAGTCCTCCCTCTGTGGCCCACCGAGCCCCCACCCTTTCCACACAGGTCTTTGAACACCCCCTGTGGGACCTGCGCACGGTCCAAAACGACATTGCCCTGCTGAAGCTGGCCACGCCCGTGAGCCTCTCCAGGACCGTGTCCGCCGTGTGCCTGCCCAGCGCCAACGCCAGCTTCCCTGCGGGCTCCCTGTGCACCACCACGGGCTGGGGCAAGACCCGGTACAACGGTGAGTGCCCTGAGGACTTTTCAGGAGTGAGACTCATTCTGTTTTTTGGTCTAAATTCCAAACACAATCATAAATTGCAACAGTCAATAAATCTTCCATTTCTTTACTTAAAACCCTCTTAATGAAAACCCTACCAAACATGAATAAAAATGAGGGTTAATAATATATACGTAAACAGTTTCTGAAGGAACACCTAAGTACCAGCAAGTCTCGCCCCCTCTCACCTGCAAGGAGAGGGACAGCCCGGATTTCCCTTCAGACTGAGGAGGGTGGTGCATCCAAAGCCCCTGAAGTCTGGGCCCGGAGTCCAGTGTCCTGGTCGGGTTCGGGCCTGAGCGCCCAGGTGCCCCCCACCGCCCCCCAGCGCTGCTCCATCCGCAGGTTCTTCCTCAGTGTCCTGAGTTCTTCTGCCCCGGCCACGGCCCCCGGCTGGTCCCGTAACAGGACAGAAGCAGCCGGGAAAGGGCAGCAGGAGGGAGGTGCTCCCTCGGGGGTCCCCTCCGGTGTCCCCGGTCAGAAGGACGTGCATCCCCTTCCCTGGGGGGGAAGGACGGCCCCTCCACCCACACACAGTGGCCGCCAGGGCCCAGGGCGCACGGGGCTCCGAGGCAGGACCTGTTGCAACAGCTGCTGGAAGCACAGTCCCCGCTGCCTGGTGTGGAATCGCAGAGGAGCCGCGTCCCAGACTCCCTGAAGGTGTCAGGGAAGCTTTGAAGCTCGGTGTCCACGATCATCGCGACGGAGGAAGACTGGGACCTTGCAGGGGGAGGGCGGGGCTCAGGCGGCCCCTGGTCTCTTCTCCCCAGGGGCGGGCTGGTGGCATGAGGGGCCCTGACCCCACGCCCTCTGTCCTTCCAGCTCTCAAGACCCCCGACAAGCTGCAGCAGGCGACCCTGCCCATCGTGTCCAACGCCGACTGCAGGAAGTACTGGGGCAGCAAGATCACCGACGTGATGATCTGTGCGGGCGCCAGCGGCGTCTCCTCCTGCATGGTACGGCCTGGCTCCGCCACCCTGCCCGCCCTCACTGCCCGTGCCTCCCCTGGCCAGGCCGGGAGGCCCACTCCTCTCTGCCATGACCTGTCTAACTTCATGCCCTGCCCAGTGCCCCAGTGAAGGGCTGGACCAGATGCCCCTGGTGAGGGCCGGCTCTGGCCAGGTGTGGTGTGGGGCTTCCCAGGCGTATTTAATCTCACACCAACCCCACGAGCTGGACGCTTCAGCCTGTTTTACAGCTGATGGGGAGGCTGAGAGGATAAGCCACCTGCCCCAGGCCGTCCAGGAGTAGGTGGCAGGGCTGGGGCTGCCATCTGAGCAGATCTGAGTCTCTTGTGCACAACCACTGGGCCCCCACTTGTGCTTTGTCTGCACCCCTGGACTTGCCAGGTCAGGGCACACCAGGGCCCTGGTACTCCCTTTCAGGCCTGAATACAAGTCCTATCTCCTCCTGCAGGGTGACTCTGGTGGCCCCCTGGTCTGCCAGAAGGATGGAGCCTGGACCCTGGTGGGCATCGTGTCCTGGGGCAGCGGCCGGTGTGGCCCGTTCTCCCCAGGCGTGTACACCCGGGTCACCAAGTTTATTCCCTGGGTTCTCGAAGTTCTGGAGGCCAACTGAGCCTCTGCCCCGCCCCAGCCCCCATGTGTGTAAAACCCAAATAAAACTGCTCGCATCTTCACTTCTGTGCCTTCGCCGGGGCGGGAGGATGGCTGCCTTCACTGAGGTCCCCTCTGGAGCTCAGAGCGGAGAGAGCTGGCAGATACCCAGCCCTATTCCCTTCTTCACAGAGATGGGGGAAATGAGACTCAAGTTCACACACAGAATGGTGAGAGCTCGGAGCAGGACCGCTGGTCCCCAGAGCCCTCACCTTACTTGGGCTGCCAGACATACCCCCGACTGCCGAAAAGGGGACCACTGACCCAGGGTGTGGGCCCCTCCTGTCCCCTACCTCCCAACTGGGAGTCCAAGTCCATGTGTAATTCAAATGGACACTTGTGGAGAAGTTCCACAAGCTGAAATTAAGAGCTTCTTTCTAAGAGCTACGTTCTAGATAAAGCCTGTGAAAGCAAGTTTCTCTGCGTGGAATAGTGTATCTCCCAGCGGTGCCCCCAGCGGGGCGCCCTCTGCCTCGGGATGCAGGGGCCCCAGCAGGGCTCACTGGCTCCTGGAGCTGCTCCCACCCGCACATCACCCTGCATCTGCCTTCGCCTCGGCCGCCTGCTCAGGGACCGTGCTGGATTTTCATCGAACCTCGGCAACGGCTGCGCCCTTGGCCACTGTGCTCACGCTGAGCCTGTCTGGCCTCAGGCCCTGGATTCTGACGGCTGCTCTTCAGCCTCACTCCAGCTGCCCAGGCTCCCCCCACCTCAGCTCCCGGCCCAGCCCCGCTTCCCCAAGCCTTCCTTTTCTGCTGAAGGGACCCACCTTCTCCTCACCCTCCCGAGGCGCTGCCCATAGCCTTGCCACAGATCTCCCCAACGCGTGACTCCACCTGTGGCATCCAGACTGGCAAACACCTGCCCTCCCGCTCACAGGTCCTCTTGCCTCTCACACCTCAGGAGAATGCTTTTCATTTTTTTAATTTTATTTAAATGTAGACTATTAGTCAAATGATTGGAAAATCAATAATGAAAAATAGTTTTTTAGGGTTTTCTCCTGGTGCAGAGAGAATACACCACAGCCACGCTTGCCCTGCCAGGGGGACACGGCACCCTCATGGTCAGCCTGAGGGGTCACCTGAGGCCATGTGGGTCAAGCGGTCTGCGAGCCCCCAGCCCAGCCCCGAATGTTGGGCGCCCCCCGGGCCCTCAGCACGCTCAGGAAAGACGGCCAGCCACTCCTGGCCTGGGCTCCGGGGCCCAGCTCTGCTCGGGCTCCTTTGAGGAGGCACCGTCCCACATCCTGCCCCGCCATAAATATACACAACTCCCTGTACAGTCTGGGGCACCAGGCCCGGGTGGAGCTGGGGTCGCCTGTCCCCATGCCCATCGCCACCCTCCTCCTCTTGCCCTCCGTCCCTCTGGTGACGGCTCTCAGGCAGCTGCCAGCTGGCCCAGGACCCGGCGGAACTGCTGGGTGCTGTGGCCCAGCTCCTTGACCCTGTCCACCATGTCCTGGGCGGCGGCAGGCGACGGGTACTGGAGGGCAGCGGCCTTGGTGGTGGCCACGATGCCGCGCAGGAGGTCACACAGCAGGTTGCTGTAGTGGGTCACCTGGCTGCGGACGTCGGCCGCCTTAGCCTGCCGTGACAGTGTGTCCCCGATGAATACCAGCTTGTGGGCGCTGAGGATGACAAACTTGCTGTGTGCCACGAAGATTTTGGGGGGCTGGTTGGTGGCCACGGCGGTGAAGAAGGCATCCACGGCGTTGGTGAGCGTGGTCAGGTTCGCCTCGCACTGCTCCAGGTAGAAGAGCAGCAGCTGCCGGTCCGAGGGCCCCAGGCCGCCCGTCCGGCCCGGGGCCAGGGGCTGGGCTGGCATCCAGTTGGCCAGGTCATGGTCTATGGGCCGTGACACCTCCTGCTCCAGCCGTTCAAACTGCTTCAGCTGGGGAAGAGGGAGAACAGAGTGAAAACCACGGCCACAGAGCAAAAGGGACAGCGAGGGGGCCCTTCTGGCCCTCTGAGTGACAAAGCTCAGAGTCAGTGGGCAGGGGAACAGGCCACCTCTGTCCTGCTGGCCAAGCACATGTCCCTGCCTGCCTCCAAACAACTTTCCCACCAATCTCAAATAATTCCATTTATATAACATTTTGAAATGACAAAATGCTAGAAATGGGAACAGATGAGCAGCGGCAGGGGTGAGGGATGTCAGTCTCTTGGTTTGGGTGCTGTTATCTAGTGACTTCAGATGCGGTCACTGGGGGAAGCTGGGAGAAGGGGACACAGGACTGCTTTGTACTTTCCTTCAAACTTTCTATGAATCTACAAGTATTTCAAAATAAAAAGTTAAAAAAATATTTTTCTCCTTAACATATGCAGTGTAAAAAGATTCATAGACACCAAGCAGAAAGAAAGATAGTTATCAACTGGAATCCCATGCACTCAGAAATATGTTAAATCTCTGGTAAATCGTCTTTTAGAAATATACACTGACGTATCTGCGGATGAAATGATGTAACGTCTTCAAAATGATCGGGCGGAGGGGGTGGGGGTGTCACCGGGCGGGAAAGAGGGCTACATACACTGGATTAGTTGTGCTGAGAATGGCTGGGGCTGGGTGAATTGTACTCGGGGTTCCTTTTCTCCAGTGGGTACCTGGGAGACTATTTTCCTCAATTTTATACATGTATTAAATTTCCCATAATAAGAATTTTAAACAAAAGCAAAAAGGTCATGGTATTTGCAATTTTCAGAAAACAAATATTCACAGCAAAAACCAGTGAATATTCCTCAAAGACATCTTCCTTTAAACAGGAATATTCCTACTTCTTTTATAATTAGAAAACCGGAAACACACAATATATAATATTTTATAGGCTACCTTTAGCACCCAACAACGGGTCATTCATTTCCTATCAGTGAGAACGTATAAAGCACGTGGTAAAAGTTTCCACCAGCAGCAGCCTTGCCTAGGCGTCAGCAGTGTGGACTGACACATCCTCACCACAAGCTGGTTCTGACTGGGTCATTGGGACCAGCCGTGCACACAGACTCAGGGACTCAGGTACTTGTCTAACCAAGGTTTCAGGCTTTACTTTAATTAGCAAACCAGCGTGAAACTGTCCCTTCCTAGCATGTGAAACCCTCTTTCTTTCCCTCCTGGGCTACCGGGTGAAACTTGCTTGGCTCTCCTGTCCAGCGGGAGAATACACTCATTTTTGTTCTGTTTTACCTTCAGTGGGTCTTCTGCATTCTTTGACAAATTCTTGGTAGCTACACAATATTCTACCGTACGAATGCTCACATTGTATTCAACCAGTACTCTACTGTGAGGTATTTGGTGGTGGCAGCCAGGGGCTGTTTCCAGATTTTTCACTGATGCAGAAATGGAGTGACAAACGTCCCTGTCAGGGTATTTTATGTTCTTGTATTTTATTTGTACTTGATGTCCCTCGCTTAGGAACTCTAGATCTTTAGTTTCTCACTCACATTCCTCTTACTCCAGCTTCTAGTAATTTATCTAAGTGACTGACCAGATATGTGAAGAGATTTAGTCAGTACAGCTTTGTTTACAAAAGTAGCTCTGGGAACAAACGAAGTGTCCACCGACACGGGACTAGTTAAATAAATGCTGCGACAGTCCAGAGGAAGACAAAGAAGATAAAGCACATGCCCATTTCCTAAGTCGGTGGAGATTCCATACATATATAATTATTAACATCTGTACCTTTATTGGACATGTTCTATGTGCCCAGCACCTCCTAAGTATTACATATTGTTTACTCATTTAATTCTCACATCGACCCCAAGACGGATGCAACTACGCTTCCCGCTTGATAGCTGGGGAAACGTGGCTTTGAAAAACGCACACCATGGCCCGGGTCTCAGGGTGAACCTGGTAGGCTCTCTCCTACACCATCCTTCCCCATGCCCAGGGAAGGTGGGGTGAGGAAAACTTTCCGGGTGATATTTCTGTGTTTATTTTGTATTAGACTATATTTTAATTTTTAAAATCTTCATAATCAAAATAAAACTCCCTTAAAAAAAGAAAATCCCAGACTCCCCTAGTGGCGCAGTGGTTAGGAATGCGCCTGCCAATGCAGGGGACACAGGTTCGAGCCCTGGTCCGGCAAGATCCCACATGCCGCGGGGCAACTAAGCCTGTGCGCCACAACTACTGAGCCTGTGCTCTACAGCCCACGAGCCACAACTACTGAGCCCACGTGCCACAACTACTAAACCCCACGCGCCTAGAGCCCGTGCTCCGCAACAAGAGAGGCCACCGCAATGAGAAGCCCACGCACCGCAACAAAGGGTAGCCCCCGTTCGCTGCAACTAGAGAGAGCCCGTGCACAGCAACGAACACCCAGTGCAGCCAAAAATAAGTAAATAAATAAATTTAAAAAAAAAATCCCTCTCCTACTCTATGTAAACAAACCAAAATATGAAGAAAATCCAATGTCCTTAGATAAACACAGTAGCATTATTTACAATAAGAAAAACTGGGTACAACGTAAACATTCAACCATAACAGACATAGGTTGACATTAAAAACAACTTATGATGAATATTTAATGCCATGGAAACACCTCGCGATAAAAGCAGACATAACTGTTCACAAAGTAGCATCTCAAACACGGACAGAGGCCCCTTCCGAGGCAGGAGCAAGACCGGAAACCAGCCCCAGAGCACGGTGACCACCCCTGAGGGTGAATGGCTTCTTTTCTGTCTTCACACTTTTCTGTGTGCGCTGAGATACCTAACCGTGATTACTCTGATAATAACCTAAACATAAATCCAACGAACACACGGAGACCGTCATGCAGTTGAGTAGGGACGGGCTGAGCAGGGAGGGCCCTGGGAGGCTCAGCTTAGGCGACAGATTCTTAGGGACGCCTGTGCTGGGAGAGGCTGGGGAACCTGAGTGTCCTCACCTGCTGCAGCTCCAGCTGGCCCTTCCCCTGCCGCATTATGTTGCCCTTTTCCAGCAACTCCTTCTGGGTCTTCTCAAACTCTTCCTTCCCCTGGAGGGTAGACACAAGGATGCGGCTGAGCCGGAAGCCCCCAGAGGCCCAGCGGGGTGCAGTGAGACCAGCAGCCACCAGGTGGCGCTGCAGCTGCACCCAGGCTCCCGCTGTGGCCTCAGGCCCAGGGTGGGGGCAGCTTCCGGAGGAAGCAGCTCTCCCGGGCCTCCTTCACCTCCTGACCCCAGGAAGGGGCTAGGCACACTCCACACGGCCATGTCAATCTTCCCAGCCCCAGCTCCCATGGCAGGAATCACATCCAGGCCCCTCCCCTCGGCATACAGGGTCTGTCCACCCATCCCTGACCACTGGGCCTTGGCACCTGCTGGCTCTCAGCCCGGAATGCCACTCACCGGGATGCCCAATCGGCTGGCACCCTGGCCTCTGTCCAGAGGCCCACCCCACCCCACCTATCGATCACCTTGCTTGTTTTCCCCACACCTGCTACTATCTCTGTCTTTGCTTGTACTTCAGAATTCACCTCTCCAAATCCCTAACCTCTGCCCTGGCCACGAGAGGCCCAGCCCTTGCAGGTGTTCAGGGGCCCTCCCTGGCTGGCACTGCAGGATCCCTGATGTCAGGGCCACATGGGTCCAAAGTCCTGAGACAGGCTGAGGATGGGCTTCCAGGGACCCCTATGGCCTGGAAGGTCCAAGTGAGGAGGGCACAGGGACTCAGCAAGGTCTTGCTGGGGACCACACCTTCCTTTGGCCACAAGAGCCCTCTGCGGGGGGGAATCAGGGTGCCCACGACAGGGTGGCAAAGTCAGAGCCCCGAGAGGACCAGGGAACTTCCCCAGGAGCCCAGGGAACCTGGGCAGAGCGGGCACCCACCTGCAGGTGGACGTAGTCGTAATCCTCCATCCAGCCTCCCTCACTGTTCTCGTACTGCCCATCAGGCGAGTCCTGGGAGGTGAACTTGGGGGGTGAGGGCAGGGGCCGGGACTGGATGCTGCTGGCCTTGTCGGTGGGGTTGAGGTGCAGGGGGCCACCCCCCTCAGGCCCTGGGACAGAGGCCTTGGTCCGTCTGAAGAGCAGCGAGGCGTTGCCATGCAAGAAGGAGGCCAGCTGCTTGACATCCTCGGGCACAGCCCGCGAGCAGGCCACCAGGCGGTCCAGGTCTTCGGGAGTGGCCCCCAGGCCTTCCCGGCTACTGTCAAGGGCCTGGCCGTGGGCCACCAGCGTCTGGTACACGTCCTCCATCTTCTGCAGTTGCCGGCTAAGCTTGGCATGCAGCGTGCGGTCGGAAGTGTGGGCGGCATTGCCCACGGCGCTGCGGGCAAACTCCAGCAGCTCGTGGACGGCCCCGTGGACGGCGGCCACGGCAGCCCGCAGGTCCTGTGCCGGAGGCTCCTGAGGCTCAGAGGTGCTGCGCCAGCCCCCACACCCGCCCGCACTGCCTGCCAGGTCCAAGAGGTGGGCCACGGTGGCGCTCACGCCCTGCTGTAGCCGTGCCAGGGCCTCCACGGCCACCTCCAGCTCCAGGGGCTCACGGCCCGGCACCGCTGCCTCCAGGGAGGAGGCCGACTGGCTGCTGCGTGTGCTGCCCGTGCTGGAGGCTGACAGGCGCTTGGCGTCGGCCGGGGCCTCTCGCTCGGCAGGGGGGGGCACCGCGTACACACCGTCGTCGGCCACGCTGCCGTTGGCTGCCTCGGGAGGAAGGACCCGCTCTCGGGGCACGTCGTAGAGGGTGCCCGGGCCAGGCCGCCGCAAACCGGGGGGCACGTCGTAGAGGTCAGGAGCCGGGGGCGGCACGTCGTACACGTCCTCAGCTGGTGGCGAGTCCGGAGGGGGTGCGGCGAGCACCAGCGGGTGGCGGGTCGGGTCAAAGGGCTTGGCCTTGGCGAAGGCGGGGGGCACGTCATAGGTCTCCTCACGCAGCAGTGGGCCGTCGGGCACGTCTTTGCTCACCGATGGAGGAACATCGTACACCTGGGGGCCAAGAAGAAGTGGTCAAGGCTGCCAGCCCATCTGCCCACCCGGGAGCCTACGGGCAGGACCCAGACGCACACAGACACAGCCCAGCGTGCACATTTGTCATGATTCTTATTCATGCAGGTTACGGTTGAGAGCCCGACTCTGGGGCCAGACCAGGGTACGAAATCCTGGCTCCAATGCTTACCACCTGTGAGACCTAAGGCAAGTGACTCCACCTCTCTGTGCCTGTCTGCTCACCTATAAGATGGGAAAACTCCCTCACAGGTTTGTTGTGAGGATTACATGAGCTAATTCACTGCGTACCTGCAAACGCTCAGTGAGAGGTCAGCTATCATACCACTACTGCCGCCACCATCAGCACCACCGTCACCACCATCACCACCCACGTGACCACCAGCATCACCATCACCACCACGTGCGTATTCTCTACTCTGTGGCAGGTACCTGGCTGAGCTATGTGCAGGCTGTATTCAGGGTGACGACACCCTGGTTCGCCCAGGACAGTCCTGGTTTGTGCCTGATGCCCCCTCATAACTATCTTGTCATTCTCCTTTCACTCTCAGAAGTATCCTGGTTTGGATGATAAGTCCTGTGGTCGCCTTGCTGATATCCTGTGTGATCCTCTCAAGAACCTTCTGAAGAAGGCCTTACAAGGGACCCTTTTAGAGACGAGGAAGCTGAGACTCAGAGGGGCTCAGTTTCCACCTCCGTCACAGAGCGAGTGAGGGGCAGAGCTGGGGTTTGGAGGCAGGTCTCTCGATGCCCCCGGCTCTGCAGACCTGAGTCCCCACCCCAGGGCACGCACACACACTCACACCCAGAACCCCATGCACAGATCGGGCCTCAACCTGTGAGGGCCCAGCATCCCCTAAATGCTTACCGCATGATGGCTGGACAGCGGCAGGCCCTTCTCCACACTGGGGGGCACATCATACACGTCCAGCGATGGGTCCCGGCCATTGGGACCCTTGACAGCCATGGGGGGTGTGTCATATACCTGAGGGCAGAAAAGGTGCAGTAATACAAGTGCCAGGGCCATCTGAGGGGACAGAAAGAGCAGAAACCCGCAGCTCTACCCCAGGACCACCCAGGCTGGGGCCAAGAAAGCCCAGCTCTCCATGCAGGGCCAGGCTGAGGCTCCCCCCTCCCCGTACCCACCGGCTCCGACACCTACCTCCTGGCCGTACTGGCTGGGAAGCAGCCCCCGAACAGGGGGCACGTCGTAGATGTCCTGGGGCCCCGGGGCCAGCAGGTGGCGTGGGATGTCGTACTCGTCCTGCTCGGGCTGGGGGGCCTCGAACACATAGCCTTGCCCCACGCGGGTGGACACCGCCACCTGGGGGCAGACAGCCAACCGTCACCACCGGCCCTGGAGAGATTCCACCGCCCCGTGAGGTGAGCAGGACATACGTAAGGGGGCTCCCCAAGGGTGGGCTCAGAGGCAAGGGTGTCCGCATCCCTTCGTATTCCCTGCCCTCTCTCTCTTCAATGAAATGCAGCACGTGGGGAATACAAGGACCCCCACTATTTGCTTAGAGCCGTCTGGTTCTGGCAGGAAACAGAAGTGGTCTCTACAGCTGAGTGACCCAGAAGGTTCCAGAGGAGAGAACATGTGGGCTGATGGAGAAGGGGCCACCCTTGACTGAGGTGCCCCTGCTGGATGGCACCTCCAGCTGCACCCCCCTGCGAGAGGCCTGCCCAGCAAGGGGTTGTCCCTACCATATGACCCAGCAGCCACCTTCAGGCTCCAGGACAGATGGAGGTGGCAGTGGCGGGCTGTGCCCTCCTCGGGCTGGACCCAGAGGAGGTGGCCTGCAGGAGATCCTGACAGTCAGGGCCTGGGGGCTCCAAGCCCTGCCCTCCTCGTCCCCCCAGCACTCTTGGGGAGATTCCCGAGAACGGGGCCACCAAGAGCCCCCAGCCCCTCAGGGCCAGCCCTCCCGCAAATGGAAGGAGGGAAGCTGTTTTGGCAGGTTGTGTGTGGGTGTGAGGGACTGACCAAGACCAGAACCAAGACCTGTATTCCCCACCGCACCACACCCTCGGGGCCACGGGGACCACCCCTCACCTAACAGGATAAGGCCTTCGTGGGGGGATGTTGGCCCGGAGAGGAGGCCAGCCCCTTCCCTCCCCGGTGCCCCTCCCCTGTCCCGAGGTGCAGGGCGAGACCGCTCGCAGGCAGTGTTGGGTGGGCAGCTTCCTTCCCTGTGGGCACCCGGCCCTGTGGGAGGGGTCAGCCCTGTAGGAGGGGCTGGCAGGATCTTCTAACCCAGCTCAGGGTACACCTCCTCCACAAGGCTCCTGGCTCAGCTCTTCTCTGACAAAAAGGCCTTTTGTTCCCTAATCAAATGGGAGGTCTGGGACAGTGGTGACTCAGGCGCTCCCCCACACACATCCCTGGGGACAGCAAGGCGGAGGCAGGGACTGCCCTGGGGCTCATGCCCCCAGAACCCTGCATCCCGTGCCTTGCACAGCCCCCAGGACACCAACAGCCAGCTCCGCAGGCCCATGGGCCCTGGAGGGCACAGGCTGTGTGCACGCACCGGGCACCCCAGGAGCAGCAACGACCCCGCTGAAGTGCAGGCACCATCACTTTCTGATCAGCCCAGGGCTCGGCAGAGCCTCCTGCTGATGCAGCCCCTGGTGGCCTCCCAGGCAGGCCGGCAGAGCTGGCTCCCTGTCAGCTGCTGGGGTGAGCGCCGCCAGGGGGTGTTCCAGGTCCACTGCACCCCACCCCCGGCGTGTCTGGGAGTGGTGCTGGCAGCCCTTCCCAGACTCATTTCTCTCCTCAAGCCCCAGACTTGAGTCTCCTCCAGAGCTATTTTTAGACCCTGGAACCTGCC